AGAGAGGGAAAGAGCTAGGGAAGAAGGAGAACACAAGAGGGCAGCAGAGAGCAACAAATAGAAACCTGGAAATAACAACAAAATGATAATCAAATAACTAGGACTATAAAACATGGAGAAAAGAAAACTAAACACTAGAAAACAAGGAGTAAAGTAAGACTGAATACTCAAAAGAAAAACATAACAGAAACAGAAACCTGACACAACCAAGAAATACCTAAGAATTCAAATACATCCAGAAAACACCAGAAAATATGAATTACACCAACGGAACTAGAAAACAAAGAAAAACATGGATCAAAGTGAAACTGAAAACTCTAAAGAAAACCTAAACAGAACCAAGACCATGACAAGCTCTTCTAAAGTTTGATTTCAGATTTCCATTTACAGCAATGTTGGAGCAAAGTTCCCCCCATACGTCCGGCGTTCCAGAGAAGGCTTCCCTGAGTCCTGGCTGTGTGTGGGCCTCGCTGCAGCGCAGACAGCGCTCGCTCGTAAAGCAGCTGAATAGCTTTTCACACCGCTGCAATAAAAGGCTCGTGTTACCATCCCGTCAGGGCCGGGCCGGCTCCCCCAGCCCAGACACAAACACCTTTCAGGAGCAGGCGGTTTGGCCCCGGCTCCTCACATTCCCCCGCCGGAGGGGGAGGCCGGCCCTCACTTTGGACGGAGTCTGTTTTGTCTGAGATAAGCGGGACGGGTTTGTAGACTTTGGGTCAAGTTCAGGACAGGTGACGTGAGTGCACCAGAACCTGGGAAAGGAGATATGCTCATTCAGAATTAGATTAGAGTGACTGAAGTATGCGGCAGACGGAGCTGTCCTCAGGGGGGGGAGAACTGAAAACATCTTCTGAAGGAGAGTCAGTATTTCAGTTTATTTAAAACTATAAAATCAGACATAAACACTGAAGCTTTAACAAACAGACAGAGAGTCCACCTGCTGGACAGAAAGACGTCTCTGGCACCTTCAGGACAAAAGGCCCGACTTTGCTTTACAGTCTAAAAGCTTTGAGAAGCTGCGCTTCCTTTCAGTGCGAGATGGAAAGAGAAGGACGAGGAGAGGCCACGTTTTCCCCAGAGCAACATCTCTAAACACAATTTATACATCTTGGAGAGATAAACCATCTGCTGGTCTGATCGTCTCATAAATCCCGCTGTCAGGTTTACAGGCTTGTCTCGACGCTGCTGTGTGAGTCCTGGGTTCTGATCCGAGCTCTCGCTCACTTCAGCTTCCTCCTCAGGTGGCTTCTGTCTGTCTCTCATCTGGCATCCTGCTTAAATGGTCCAGCAGCCAACAGGAGGGTCCGACGTCCGCGTGACGGCTGGTTTCCTGCGTCCTGACGGGTGTCTGCTGACTTTCCAGCATGTGGAGCCGTCCGAGCGAGCAGGCCTCACTTCCAGCCGTTCATCTCCTTCAACTTGCTGATGCTCGTCCCTTTGACGGGCGTGGAGGGCGGCGGGTGGCAAACCGGGAGGGTGGGGGTGCTGGACGCTCGAGGCCACAGCTTCTCTGTGGGGACTGTCCACACTGTCCGAGACGACTTCTTCTTTGTTTTCTCTGTCTTTGCTTTGGAAGAGCCAGGGGCCATGGTCTGGAGGAGGGAGGAGAGCAGAGCAGAGATCAGTCAGAGCTTCCTGCAGCCGCTCCTCATTCCTACACTAACCAAAAGATGCTTCAACCACAGACCTAATGGGGGAGTGACACCCACACCACAATGATTACTGGTTTCTGAATCTTCTGCTAACTCTGCATAATCTGCTGCCATTTGCTGCCATGTTCAAGCTTTACCTCATATTCAAGATTTGAACTTTGACTAGGCCACAGTAGCACATGGAAATGCTTTCATGTACACCATTCTGCTGAGATTCCTAAAAAGTTCAAAAACAATCCACTGGACTTTGTTTCCAAGTTCAAAGATGTTTCTCTTCCCATCCAGGAAGCTTTTTTTAAAAAACTTTTTTGTAATGACTATGACCTGGATGACTGAGAATCTTCACCAGCAGATGTACGGAGATATTTCAGAATGTGTGGTTGAACTGGACAGAATGTGCCGTTAAGGTAACATACGCAGCAGCAGAGGGTCAAACACGTGATCTTTGCGGCGTTGTCTCCCGTCCCCGCGTAGCGGTTCTTCTTCGGCAGCAGAAGCACGAAGGACACGGCCAGAGAAAGATGGTAGAAGCTGTGGACGTAGGCGTAATCCCACTCCTGCAGGGGGGAGGACAGCAATGATCTGTAGTTTATTCAAGTGATTGAATCAGAGCAGAACGTCAAACATTTATCTTCTGGGCCTGGTTGTCTTAGAACGAGGAGTCACCTCGAAGTAGAAGCGCAGCATCAGAGCGAGAGCGCCGAAGCAGCAGCCTGGGCCGACCTGCTGCGTGTAAACGGTCTTCTCTGGGTAAACCGCCCTCAGCTGCTTCATCTTCTGCAGCTGGAAGAGCAGAACATCACAGGATCAACCAGACAACCAAAACCTGACCTGAAAATCAAGGAGATCAAAGGTGGAACCAGAGAAGATGAATGTTGGCATCACTCACCCATTTAACAGTGATGATGAAGACGGCCGAGCCGATTGGTCCAGAATAAATCCCGTAGCCCCAACGGTCCTGGTAAATCCGAACGGCGATGGTCAGGACTCCAAACATGGTGATGCTGGAGCGCTGCGGTTCATCGAAGTCCCCCAGAGCTGGAGGGAGGAGGAAGGAGACAAGGTCAGGGTGGAGGGAGGAGGAAGGAGACAAGGTCAGGGTGGAGGGAGGAGGAAGGAGACGAGGTCAGGGTGGTCATGCTGTTTAAGTTATCTGATTAAAAC